TCAAGTCAAATTCCTCTGCTAAACAAATTGTTTTAATTTTTTTTTTTTTTTTTTAATCAAAGCCATTTGCTATGTTTTAGATTACAGGCTGGGCCGTATGCTTAGGTAAAGGCCAAGAAGGAAACAACTGTCCCCTGCATAGAGCAAGTAGGTCCCATGTGCCAGCTTTCTCTCTACTCCTGAACCAGGTGGGTGGGGAAAATGGGTAGATTTTCATCCCCAGAGCAGCCGTGCAGATGGGTAAGGTGGGATGAGATGGAAATAATGCTACATGGGGGAAGCATTTGCTATTGGTATCAGTAAATTACTACCCCCCCAGAGCAAGGAGAAGGCCAAGAGGGGTGGCAACATCATGAATACAATGCCTGCCGAGACCCCTTTAATGTGGTGCTGAATACACACATCCACTGAACAGCGGAGTTGTAGGTAGGTGGGTAAAGGGGCCAGCCCTCCACCAGGGGCTTTAACCCCATTCCATGTCCTTCTCCTGGTGTTACCGTGACATGGGACCTTTTTATCACAAAATAAAAACAGAGGAAATGCAGCCACCTCTAGGGTGGATGGAGAAAAGCTCCCTTCTCATCAGCACAGAGGCAGAAAAGGATCTTGGAGTCGTTACTGATTCCAAGATGAACACCTCTACCCTGGGGGTCTTCAAAATCAGCCTGGATGAACCCCTTGCCGGGGTCTTTTTACCCCAGCATCCTTTCCTGCTCATGGCAGGGGGTCGGACTTGATGATCTGCTCAGTTCCCTTCCGACCCTACCCTACCAACTATGGACCAACCAACATACAACACCTTGTAGAGTGTCCCCAGTTTAATTAACTAAGGAGACTTGGAAGAAGGAGTACTTTGTAGGAGGACCCTAACACTGATAGGGCAGTTCTGTTCTAGGACTGTCATCTCAAGCGCTGTGTGGCCTGTGGCAAGTTGCCTCCCCAGTCTGAGCCTCAATTTCCTCATCCAGCATTCAAGGATAACACCACTCTCTCCTCTGAGTTTCAGGGATGGAAAGCATTGCACACAAATGCCCCTTCTTGGAGTTATTCTAGATTCTGGATAGCCCTGGGGAGGAGCTGGCCCAGCCCCCCATGATGACACAAGGGGAGCTGATCCTGCCACAGGTGGAGAAAGGCATATAAACTGCCAGTCGCCTGTGAATCATCTTGTGGGTGTTTCCACCCAAGTCCTTGCCTCTCGGTCTCAGCCTCTGTGCACATGCATTGAGAGCTAAGAGGTCCTTCATTTACTCTTGGAGCTTTTGCTAAAGCTTGGCATCTGTTTCCCCAAGCCATCCTTCCTCCCTGCTGCACTGACTCATAAGTAACATTTAAGATCTGCGACTCACTGATCTTTCCATGTGGCACCCAGCATCCCCACTCCCACAGCTGTGAGAGAAAGCCAGGAAGTCATGGTGCCTAACTAGCCATTATCTAGCATGCTCTTATTACAATGGCTGTAACGAGCTTAATGCCAGGAGGTATAAACAGAGATGCCCTCCACTGCCTTGGCATGCATGCAACTCAGCTTTTTAACCTCCCTTCCCTTCTCTTAGGCTTGATTATTTTTGCCATCTCCCACATATTTAATATCCGTGCCTTTAACTATCCATGATGTCTATTCTCTTTCAACAAGGTCTGCCTCCATTTAAACCATCTTTCTGCCTGCTCTCCCAGACAGCAGTTCACAATGATTTTATCTTTCCTATTAGGCAGTGATTGCAAAACCTCAGAGGGTTCATTAGCAGCTTGATAATCCCTCCAGATTTATTAGTTTAAATTGCTCACTCCCATCTCTCATCCCCATTTAAATATTACTAATTTCCTTAAATATCTCTTCCATCTGCCCAGGTTTCGCCCAGTGTCACCTTTCTTCTTAATGATCCCTGTCAAAACTCCAGTTAGCTCTTTAGAGAACTGGTCTTTTGCAAAGTGGTAAAATAAACTGGAATAAATAGATGCCCTTTGTGATTAATTTCCAGGGAGAATGAATGGCCCTAGGATTCATTCCTTTCTAACCTCACCTTAAAGTCATGCATAACCAGATTAGAAGAATGGGCTTGAATTGCAAATTTCAGATTCTGATCTCAACTCAAATTCTGAACATGCCCATGTCCAAATTCAGAGACACGATTCATTGCTCCAGCCGTGGCCCAGGGTCCCATCGTCCCAGGCTCATATCTTTCATGATTTGATTTGTGAGAGCACCTACAACCCCTGGTCACCCCCCACCCCACCCCATGCTAGATCAAAAGGAACAGGCTCGGTAGTTTTTGCTCCAGAGTCTGCATGTCACGCGAGACACAAACGGGGTGGGAACGTGGTGTGTTTTGGGTTTAAAATGCTTCACTCCTGAAAAAACTGTACACAGTATGCCGCATGCCAATGCAACAACAAATACACGTGACTGTGGGAAGTGGTTTACCTTCAGAACTATGGATCTCATAGTATCACACTGCATTTCTCACAGAGTACCTCGCGGTGCTTTAGAAAGGCTGAAGACCTGAACCTGATGCTGTCCCCTATGAGATGGAAGTGGCTCTCTCCATTTTTACAGGCTGGAAAAACTGAGGCAAGGACAAGCTTATTGGTACTTGTCTTAGTTCATGTACAAAGTCAATGGAAGAGCTAGAAATGAAACCCTAATCATTATTATCATCATAATCATCATCATTACTATTATCATCTTCTTGATCATTATTGTTATTATTATTAATAATAATACTACCAGTAATAATATTCTTACTAGAACAATGGAGCCTTTGGGCTAATAGCCATGACGGAACAAATACAACCTGAAAAAGGTAACCCTACATTTTGGGGTCCTACTGGCTTCAACTTAGCTTTCAAGGTTTATGTCACTGCTCAGCTCCTCAACATAAGGTATTTCTTTACTTTTCATTGAGTTGCCAATCATCTATATTGATTTAACTAGGACTAGGACTGAATGGCCTATTCCTCAGTGGATGGCACCAACTAGGGTTAGGACCTATGGATTTTGCTTCAAGAAGGAATTGGAAGGCTATTTGAAAGCACAGAATTTCTCTCTCTGATGCCTCCTTTCACAAGCCATCTCCTTGTGCCACTTCCCACTTGCTCTCCATGGTGTTGCCTACTCCTACGTGTGGGTTACCCTCCCTGCACGCTTGGCTCCATCTGTTTCTGTCTATCTCCCACCCAAACACACACAGACACGCCGCCCGCTGCAGCTCTCGGCTTTCCTGGCGCACGCCCGCACGGGCATAAATATTAATAGACATTAGAGAATCAAAGTATCATTTGGGTTGGAAGGCGCCTCTGGTTCATCATTTCATCCATCCCCCTGCACTAAGACATGACAGATTTCATTACTTCTGCCCCATCCTTAATAGATAGTCTCAAGTGAACTATTGATGGGGATAGCAATTTCCCCAGCCCATGTGGCAGATTGTTTTAGGGCCTCACAGCTCCTTTAGCTTGAAAGTTTCCCTAATGTTTACTCTGGGCTTCCCCCTGCTGCTACCTAAGCCCATTACTTCTTGTTTAGCACAGTGCGTGGGGATTTAACCACATGATCTCCCATTAATGTTCTTAGGAGCTGTAAAGCTAAATTGCCACAAGCTGCATTGAAAAACATGCCTCTCCCTGCCTGTCACAGGTATGCAATCACCCTTGAGCAGCCTTACACGTGCACTCAGCCCCTCACTAAGACATGACCAGGACTCATGTCACGGCTTGCCCTGTCCATATGCTGCCACCACTGCATCAGTCCCCTTTCTCCCAGCGATAGCTCAGCTGATGTAAACGGTCTTAGCTCTCCGGATCTGTGTGGGTTTTTGCCAGCTGAGCAACTGGCCCAGTGCCTTAAAGAGAGTGTCCCCACCAGGAAAAACTTTTAAAGGGAGGGGAGAGGTAGGGTTAGACATGCTGTCTTCTCATGTTTTGCCTTTTGTACTTGAGAAACCCAGAGGGGACAAAGGAAGGGTCCTTAAAAGGATGATTTAACTCTCTGCCCTGGGTTTATGCTTCAGGTGTCTCTAGCTGCCCAGGGCTCAGTCCCAAAACTTCTACTAGTAAGATCAAACTTTACTCAGGTAAGTAAGTGGGTTATAGGGTAAGTAGGGGTTGCAGAATTGTCTGCTGGTGCATCCTCCAAAGCCCACTGAAATCAATGCAAAGACTTGTATTCAATGAGCTCCAGATCAGGCCCTCAGTGCCAGGCATAAGCTGGAAACAATGGGATGAAGAGAGTACCACTTATAGCAGGGGCAGGCAATTATTTTGGGTGAAGGGATGCTTACTGAGTTTTGGCAAACTGTTGAGAGCCGCATTTCCCTTTCTGTCACAGGGAAGCAGGAACAGCCCCATGGTCCCAGGCCAGAAGCCTCTGCTAGGCAGGGGTTTCTGGTTGGGGGGCAAAGGCTGGGCAGACCTTGCTGCTGGGTCCTGCCACTAGCTTCCTCTGGGTCCTACTACTCCTCGCTCCTGTCATCTTTGACAGGCAGCTAGGAGCAAATAAATATTAATTTTCTAATTGTTTAGGGGCCCCATGGGCTGGATAGAATGGCCTGGTGGGCCAGATCCGGCCCCCAGGCCGTATTTTGCCCACCCCTGACTTACAGCAACCCCTCTCACCCCCACTGCTCTCAATACAAGACAAGAAAGGATGGGCTTGCAGCTGAAGCACAGCTCTCTCTTGTCCAAGGTCCACATCCTTCAACCTACAGGGCAGGACTGCCCGTTTAGCACTGGTGTTGACTGGCTCTGCCGTTTTTGCCATTCCACAGGGCATCACTGGTGGATCAATTTGTTTTCATCACATGGAGGGCAGGGCTAATTTCTCTCTTGGCCAAAGCCTGGATTCTCGGACACCCCCAAATACCCCTGGCTCATCAATGCTTTTCCACTCCCTCTTGCACATGGCTCTACCAGACACAACCCAGACTCCCACGGGGCGAGCAGATCAGTTGTCATTAGTGGGACTCTATATGCACGGGAGAGGAGCTGAGGAAATGTCTTACCAGATTAGTGAAGATATATGTGTAATAGGCTGATGCCATCCCCAGTTCGGCTGCCTGTGAAGGAGAGGAAGATCAGATTAGAGCAAGGAGTGACCGTCTTTAATCTCAGGGGCGGGAACAGGACAGACTGGGCTGGATTCACTTTTCACCCTTATCACTGTACATGGACACTGCCATCTTTTGAGAAGCCAGAAAGGGCAGGACACAGATGTACAGTTTCACCTATGAAATTAAAGTTACAGGACCTGATTTTTCACAGGCAGTGAACATCTGCAGGTCTCAGTGAAGTCAATGGAAACTGCAGGTTACTCCAACTGCAGCAGCACTGAAGGCCTCAGATGGGGAACATCTGATCTAACCTTGGGCTACAGGCCACAGACACCAGTCAGTGACTGAATCTGGCCCTGATCCTAACAGGTGAATAAAGACCAGGGGAACAGGGAAGGAAGGGACAGTGGTAGAAAGAGTTTCAGCTGCAAACATGCCTAGTAACAGCGATTTTAGCAGTCCCAGATTGCCATACTAACCAAGGTCAGAAGAATAAGCCCAGAGCCCAACCTTGCAAGAGTCACAGCTATTTGGCTTGGACTACAATGGTTTCACTGATATAGCCCCAGGTATGAACACATGATGCTGGTATATAGATCTTACAGCCATATAACGTCCTCAGCCTCCCATTATACTGATAAAACTCACTATGGGTGCTGTACCGCTTCAACTATACCAGCATTTTTAAAACAATCTAACTGGTGATCACAGACAAGCCTTCAAGGACAGCACTGTTTAGGAACATTTTGGGTGGAACAAGGAAGAGCAGGCAGAATTGTCAGTTTTGTAAAAAAAAAAAAAAAAAAAAAGTTGTGTGGCAATTTTTACCCTCTCCTTTCAGGCAGCCAGGCACTCGCTCAGTATCAATCCCACTCCTGATTCAGCTCAATGTATTTTTTCACACTGAAAATGTGGGAAGTTTAAATGTGCTCACACTTGCCATATACAGCCTCTGTTGCTCAGCACTAGGCCTGCTTCTAAGCGCAAACGAAAATTCCTGCGAAAGTAGCAAATTCTTGGCAAAAATATTGGCAGAATCCGTGGGGGGAAAAAAAAAAATCACAGAACAAAACACCAAAGATTTTACAAACTGTTCAGCCTTTCACTGCAAACATTAGGCTGCAGAGAGGGAAAAAAGGGAAAGCTTCACCAAAATCGGAGGGGATAAGGCTGCCATGCCCCATGGATCTTTGCCCACAAACACCAGCCAAATTTAGGCTCTAACATCCTGCAACTGATGATTAGCCTGAATGAACTCTGATGCCTCCACAAAGCCTCTAGGATTTAGCAGAGTTGTAAGAGGTAAATAAAGAGAAGGGGAATGGGAAAAGGGGTTAACAGGGTGTAAGTGTGCGTAGGGAAGGAAGCACGGCTAAATAAATGAGTGTGAAACCCCAGAATTCACAGTGAATGAGGAGCCAGTTACTGGAGCAGATGCTCAGGAAGGTGGGGAATTAGCCTGCAAATCCTTCGGAAAGCAGGAGACGGCAGTTCCCTGCCAAACAGCCAGTCTCAAATCACGCTCAGGGGACTTGGCAGAAAGTTTTGCCAGGCAACCCTTCATTATCTTGGAGGGGGTCTCTCCACTTCCCCTCTCCTCTTCCCGCCCCACCTGGAGGCTGGAGCTGTCAGAAAGTGCAATGGGTAAGGAAGAGGCAGGGATTGTGGCCCACTGAACTCACTATGGCAGGGGTAAGCAAACCACCCTGGGTCCAATATGGGGATACACAGGTTTCTTCTGCTGCCACTGTTTGTCTCCATGACAGCATAAGGAGAGCACCTACAGATGAAGTCCCATGTCCATGGACTGAATCCAATAACTCCATGGGTCACAGGTTGCTGAACCCTGCTTCAAGCCATAGGTAAAGAAGCTAAACAGGGCAGATGCAACATTGCTCCCTGCAAGCATCCTGCCACAGCAGGGACGAGGCCTCAGGGCTTTCTCCCACCCTCTCCCTCGGGAGGTTTCGTGCAATATTCACAGGTGCAATACATCTGCGGCAACAATGATTGGCGTGACATGGCCTTTCAAAGGGAAACCAACAAGGCAGTGTGTAGCTAGTCACTGGAGCCTCTCTTGATCAGCTGAAGGTGAAAAACAAAATGAAGGGAAAGAGGGAGAAGATCCCCCAGGAACTGTAATGCCAGTGCTCTGCACCTACCATGTGCACGCAGGTTGCTAAGATGGGATTTTTAAAATACTCTGCACCGGACAGAATCAAGGTGCTGTTGACTTCAGGGGGAACAGAACTGGAAAATCCTACACTTCATGCTCTGCAGTCAGTAAGCACTTAGCCTCACTGTCACGAGTATTACTAGAACAGCGCTATCACCCACAGGCAGTGTACTGGAAGGCGGATAATATAACCCATTGGATTACCATACTCAGTGCATAACCCTCAGTGGTTCAAAGTCTAGTTGGGCGATAGGTATCAAGTGGGATTCCCCAAAGGCCTGTCCTGGGTCTGGTATTATTCAACGTCTTCACTGATGATTGGGATGCTGGGATCGAGTGCATGCTTACCAAGTCTATGGATGACACCAAGTTGGGTGGAATAGCTGACACTGTGGAGGGCAAGGCTAGGAACCAGAATGACCTGGATAGACTGGAGAAATGGTCCACAATCAACCGGTTGAGATTCAACAAAAACAAGTGCAAAGTCCTTGGGACGGAATAACTTCATGCACAAATGCAGACTGGAGAACAACTGGCTAGGCTGTAGTGCTGCAGAGAAGGACTGGGGGGCTATGGCAAACCATAAACTGAATATGAACTAACAGTGTGCTTTTTTTTTTTTTTACAACAAAAGAAGCCAACAGCATCCTGGGGTGTATTAACAAAAGTGTCACTTGCAAATCAAGAGAAGCGATGCTTCTGCTCTGTTCAGCATGGCTGCGGCCTCAGCAGGAGTTGTGTGTCCAGTTTTGGACCCCAGACTTCAAGAAGGATGTGGACAGTTTGGAACGAGTCCAGCACAGGACAACAAAAATTGTCAGGAGCCTGGGAGACCAGACTTATAAGGAAAGGCTGAAAGCCCTTAGATTGATTTAGCCTGGAGAAGGGGGGATTTGATAACAGTCTTCAAATCCCTGAAGGGTGATTATAAAGAGGATGGAGACGAAGGTGAGCTTTTCTCTGTGGCTGTAAGGGACAGGACTAGGGCCAGTGGACTCAAGCTGCAGCAGAGGAAATTTAGGCTGGAGATTTCCTGACTATGAGGATGGTCAGGCATTGGAAGAGGATGCCTGGAGACGTTGTGCAATCTCAGGGACGATCCTCCCTTGAGCAGGGGGCTGCACTACATGACCCTGTGGGGTCCTTCCAGTTCTACTTTCCTATGATCCCAGATACAGGGAATGGAAACAGCAAGGCAAAGCAACTTGCCACAGGCCACACCATGAGTCAGTGTCAGAGAGAGGGATGAAAACCTAGCCGCCTAACCACCACCTCTTGCCACTAGACCACGCTGCCTCTTGTCTTGAGGCCACTGGACTGTAACCCCCAGCAGCTGCTCACCCTTTGAAGCCAGCCAGGTCCTGTAACTTTGATTTCAAGGGCAGAAAATAAAAAAAAAGAAAAAAGAAATAAGCACTTCCCTTTGTACATCACTCCCGCCTGCTTAGCATCCCCAAAGGTACCGGTGAGAAGCTAAGACAGGCTGTCAATACAGCAAGCAGCCATATGTCTCCAGACCACATGTGGAGAGCAAGACGGAAGAAGTCTGCCTCACTGTCCGAAAACAGCAGAGGCCAAGAAAGGGCTTTCTGATACTAGGTTGGAGCCATAGCTCATTTAAAACAATAGTAGTTTTTCCATTGGCTTTAGTGTCTGCTGACTCAATCTGAAGCAAGTTTCTGTCTTCTAGTTGTTATCTCCCCTCTTTGTTGCCCATATTCTCCCAGCATAAAAGGAAATAACTTCTAGTTCCACCAGTTGCAATAAGTTCACAAACCATGAGGGCATTGTTTATTTTGCTTCCTCTCTTGGGATCCTCTTGCCGGGATGACTGCATTAAATTTTATTGAATGCTGCAAAATCTTTTCAATCTTTAACATCTTTATTGGTCACGGCATGAGAATACCCCAGAGAGGGGAAGGGAGAGTGCGTATGTCTAAAGAGCCACTGCTGTGTGACTGTGGAAAATTACTATGGCAACAGACTGAGGGATAGCCCTCAATAGTGAGAGAGCTCTTTCAAATCATCTAACTCAGAAACCAAAAAAACCCCCCAAACAAACCCCCAAAACCCAAACACTAGTTTCTGATTTCCCCACAAATCAGCAGTGTCAGAGTATTTTAGTGATATAGCAAAGGTCACAAAGGAAACCTGTCCGTCAGTGCATGCACATTGCATTTAGACATGCAATTAAAATGACGCAGGACTGGACTGATGACAGATGCGTGAGCTTCGTGGAGATCCAGCTGGTATCACTTGGAACTTGCACAGACTGTCAGCAGCCTCCGCCTGACCTCAGCCTCTGGACTCAAGCCTGGCATCTCTACCTGCACAGCCAGCAATGGGAACATTTTGCACCGATGCACATCAGTGCTTGTGGTTTGTGGTTCATATCCCAAGAGTTGGACTATATGATTGAAATTCTCCCTTTGTTTCTTCTCAGAGCCAATGCAATATTCATACTTTTTTTTTTGGCTGCAGTAAAAAAGCAAACGTAAGGAGAACTGGTTGGGAGCTTCTCAGAAGAAATGCTTTTTTAAAAAAAGCCAGAACTCTGCCTCAGAAAGAGACTGGGGAATGGATTTACCCACCCTGAAAACTTTTTGGAAAAAAAAAAATCTCAAGGAGTTGAAATGTCTCATTTCATCACCTTCAACATGAAGAGCTTCCTTTTTTGAATCAAAGCATCTTTTCGGTTAGAATATAGTAAAAAAAAATAGGTTAGAATATATTTTAAAACTATATTCGGTTAGAATATAGTAAAAAAAAAAAAAGAGGTTAAAAAGAATCAAAGTTCAGTATCAACAGAGAACATTTGAAGGTACACAGTGTTATATTTCACTGAACCTAATCAAATTTTATTTTTCACATTTTTGATTCACAAAAATATTTGGGGTTGTGCCTTTTTTCCTAATACAGGATGAGGAAAATGTATGAAATCTTGAAAAATCTTGCCAGACAGGAAAATCATTCCCTGCTGCGTGCTAATCTCATTCCTCTAGTGTGTATGTTAGTGCTGTACCCATCTGCCCTCCCCTGCAGAGGACACGAGTCTCATGCTGTTGGCTAGGCAGCCTTGCTGTTTTAATTCAAGCTACAGCAGCTCATGCTTCTACGTCTGCTGGTTCTGAGGTCAAGCCCATGGTTTGTTGACCAAGAGAAAAGCCATTGCACGCAGGCTGCCCAACACCAGTAAGATGGCAAACCTGTGCAAAGTTCCTTTGCAGGCAGGATCCTTTGTAGAAAGTGACCCATATCTGTGTATCTTTGCAAGTGTGTGTCTCTTCAGTGGGACCAATACTTGTACCAAGCCCTGCTCTAGCTTCACCCATCAGGCCTTAAAGACAAGCATTCTGTTCTCAGAGTGATGATGATGACGACACGCAGCATGATGGGCCTGACCTAGCTACTGAACTCAATTGAGAGATGGTTGTTAATGACTGATGGGCTTTGGATCGGGTTCCACACACTCAGATGATTGATTCCTTAGCATCACACTCATGATGCTGCAAGGAACACACAGGACAACAGACCCTGCTCTATGGGAGAGGGACCTCAACAATCGCAGGGCACGTGTACACAACACGGGATTTTTACACCCCCATTAGATTCAATTTCCAAATGAAGCCAAGCTGTCTAGACACAAGCCAAAACCAAAACACAATACAGGAAAGAATTAAAATAATAGAAATTAAAAAAAAAAAAAAAAACAGCTTAAAAACAACTGATGAAGAAACAATGCAACCTGAGAAGCACTCAGAAGAGGAAAAAGAATCGTAAGTCTGCAGCACTGATGGTCTGATTTTCGGAACTGTTCAGCAGCCTACTGGCTCTTGTTTGAAGTCAACAGGAACAGTAGGAGTTCAGCACCTTTGGAAACCAACCCCAGATCTCTTGTGCACTTAGTCAGAACAATTATTCTATTTGTTCTGTAGCTGCAGTCTTGGAGGAAAAGAAAAAAAACTGTTTCCCATAGGAACTCAATGTTAATCAATGGAAATCCCCCTGTAGCGTAGATAAATTTCCTGCAGTGCAGCAGAAATGTTTATACTCTGGAACCACATAGTGCACACGCTCAGAGAAATCATCAGGGTGGAAAGCAGCAGCATTTCTAAAACTATAACTCAACAGCCAACCTACCTTCTGGAGGATGATGTGAGACATGGAGGCATTTGCGTGTACGATGATGGTGGCAGTTTTGTCATCCCGGATCTCTTTTAGGAGAGGGGTAGGGTCCCGGCTGTCATCCAGCATCCGTACCGAGAGGGTGTCCTTGGAGATGAGGAATTGGCGAAGCAACTTCTCTAGGTTTAAAAGGCCTGCGAGAAAAAGCAGCACAAAGCAGGCTTTTAAATGATGTGTTCAGTCATGAGTCCTTCACCCACAAGATCCAGCTCTGCATTGGGCTGGTTCACCAAACGGTGTGGCAGTATGCTGAAAAGCAAAGAAGCCATGTCTTAACTCCAGTCTCTATCCTCTGGTCACCAGGGGATGGGGAAGGATGGAACATCACATCATGCTTTGGCCATCAGAAACAGCAGAGTCGGATCATCATGGCACACGGTTTCTAATTATGGCCTCAATGCAAATAATAAAAGAACCAAATATGTTCTAGGTGCTTTACAGACACATAGGAAGACAGGTCTCCAGTGACCTCAGCCACTGACCCAGCAGAAGACAAGGCCTAGGACACTTGCACACATGACGAAAATGTCAGTTTGTGCCATGCAATGGCATCACACATTACACATGCACCAATTTTGGGGGGGGTTAGATGAGCTTGCATCGTTGCAGACTAAACTACCTCTGCATTTAGTTTAGTTTGCAACAATAGGTTGCAGCTGTCAGCTCACCACCTGGACGTGGGAGGCGGGAAGGTTCCGCAGAAAAAAAAAGGATCGGGCCCCTCACCGCTTCTGCGTTCAGCAGGTGCCTGATATTTTTTTTCGGTGGAGCCTGTCCACTTCTCCCACAGCCAGGGGGCAAACCACTGGTGGGCCGAGCAGCCCCTGAGCTGCAGGAGGCCCATGTCCTTCTCTCTGCAGCAGCAATGCCCCCTGGGGCTGCCTGGGTAGGCTGCTTGTGGGCTGTGTGTTGCCGCAGCTTGGAGGCAGCACCCAGCCCAATCCAACTCTTCCCTGAGCCCACCTGGGGAGCAGCACTTGGGCTTCCAGTGGGTAGACTCAGGGAAGAGTCAGATTGGGCCAGGTGTGGCCTATGAGCTGGGGCAGCACCTGGCCCGCTAGCAGCCTGCCCAGGTGGTCCTGGGAAGGCTCCAGCCAAAAAAAAAAAAAAAGGGGGGGGGGGGGGCGATTGGGCTCCTCGTCATAAGAGTGACAAAAACCCCTAAATTGAACTGGATAGTTTCAATTAAAAACCCACCAGTTCAATTTAGGGGGCAAAGAATGCAACCCTAAGGATCAAACCCCCGTCATATGTACAGGCGCTCCTAGGTGTTATTCTACCTCCCTTTGCTGGCCTCTTCTGGTTAAGCATTTTGGCACTGCAGTAACCTCAATACCAATAATACCTCCCAGTCCAAGATCTTACTATTCAAGGGCTTGATTCTGCTTTTATATATATCTATACAGATATATGGTCTGATTCTGCTTTTCTGATTATAGATAGATATATCTGTATCTATCTATCTATATCTAGATAGATAGATAGAGTCATAGAATTATAGAAAATAGGACTTTCCCATGATCTACAGCACATTACCTTGTATCAGGTTGGGAAGAGAATTGTCCAAAGGGAGGAGGAGGAGTTACATACCAGAGACCTGCAACCACTTCTCCAAAGGAAAAGGACAAACAATAGACCATGCGCCCAAATCTGAGACCCAGTGCCCTGACCGTCAGAGGGGCACTCACGCCTGGAGCTGAGCTTGTAAACTAAATGTTGCTCTGACTGTACCGAACGGTTTATTCACCCCAAAGGTCAAGGGCTGGGGAAGCAATACAATGCAACGCAATCAGAGTTGCAGAGTGCTGCTTTCAAGGACTCCTGGCACTTCACAAAAGGTAACAAAGCAATGCATTAAAGGGATAAATCCCAGATGAGGAGTCTCTTATTCACAGTGAGATTTTTCAGTAAGTCAATGTACCTGCATGGAGCTCTTTCCCATGCAAAGCCCCCTGCCTCTCCTCTTCAATACAGGAAGGATCTCAGCTGGGGACTAAAGCAACCAGAGTGCCCAGGATTTCTTAAGGGTGGAATGGATTTCCAAGCTTGCTCCTGTATAGAGGGTGAAATTCACCCCTGCACAGAGTCAGCACATGGTCTGACCACCACTGAAACAGCATTTTATCAGCACTAGTGGGGCTTCTGTTTAAACCTCCTGCTAGATTTCTGAATTGTTTAATCTTACCCATGCCCACAATCGCTGCTTCCTCTAAGATTTGGAGGCTGCCATGAATACAAGTCCAGCTCTGCTGAGCTGATTTAGGACTCATCTTGAAATCTCCTTTCCCACGAGGAAGGTTCTAAGAGCATTTTACTAACCTTTATTCAATTAAAGGCTCAGAAAAGGAGGCTTTTATAGTTCCTTTGACTTTTTCTTTTTACAGTGGGCCCACTTCATAGCTTTTTGTATTTCTCTTGGTTAAGAAGAGGACGTTTTGGGGGAGAGAAGGAAGGGGAACAATATATTTTCTTTATGAGCAAAGCTGGAAGAAAGTTCCCCAAGTGGTTGCTACCAGCCTGAACTCATCTGAAGTCAGCAGGTGAATATTATTTTGCCTTGTGAGCTGATGCAAGAGCCCTCTGAACTGCAGGAGTGGAGACTGTCATGGGAGCGTAACCCAGCGAATGCCAAACCCTGGGCATTTCCTTTCTCAGGAAGGCATTTCTGAGGCATCAAACACAAGCTATTATGCATTATTCAGACTGTAAGAGCGACTGGAGGCTTCATCTGAGGTCACGGCCCACTGGGCATGTCTACATGGCCTCCTATCCAGCCCAAGCTCCAGCACCTGGCCCCTCACTCCTGCTGAGCTGCACCGATGACTGGGGGCACAATAGATAGCTCGGGACCAACCCTGACCATGCCTCCCTGAGCCGTGCTCTCTGTCCTGAGAGTGCCTGAGGGTGCTGGGTTGGGGGGCAACGGTTTAATCCAAGCTCCTTGGGCCACTCGGGAGAGGTGGACAGGGCACAGTTTGTCAGCAGAGGATGGGGCACTGGAAGGGAAGTGGAACAGTAAAGCCACAGGGGAGCAGAGTCCCAGATATTCAATGCCTCCTCCCTTCTTCTTCTTGCATATGATTTCAGAAAGTCAACTCCTCCAACCATTTAAAAGCAGATCCATCACTATTACTGCAATCTTTTAGACTGCTCGCTCCCTCTGGTGAACCATATAGATGGCAGCCAGTTAGTATATGCTGGGTTGTCTGATGTCCTTTGCCACAGGGGCACAATGGTGAGTTTTTAAGGCCCATTTTATGTTTGATTTTGTCGAAGCTCCATAGCCTGATTGAAGTCAATTCAGGTTTACCCATACCCTACGTGGGAGTTTATGAGGGAGTTTAGGAGGGTACGAGGATGGTAGTTGTGTAGTGGGGTGTGGTTGTTATTCCATTGCTCTGCCCACCTTCTCTGGGGCTCTGGATCAGCACTCAACTTAATGTTGATCTCTCAAATCCCAATCTGGAGCCTGAATAACAAGCCAATTATCCATGTCACTGAATGCACAGATATGCCCTCACAACTTGCTCCCGTGTCACTAGCCCCATGTTGCAGATGGGCAGCTGAAGCCCAGAAAGGGGACACGACTAGGCCATTATCGCACCACAACATAATAATCGGGGCTGCAACAAGGAGCCCCTGACTCCAGTAACCTAACATTACTCCCCACAACCTGTCAAGAGGTCAGCCCTGGGTGTTAGCAGAACAACAGTCAAGCAATGCCATTGCACGCCAGAAAAGAGGGGCACGCTGAACCCTTCTTTGCAAGGTGTGTTCACGTGAAGATTTCCGTTCTGACCCCTCTCCCTCCTGGCTTCAGCGGACATGGCATGGTGCACAGGATGTCAGCCTGGATGTCAAAAGTGATGTTCCAGGCCCAGCTCTGCCCACAACATGCTGCATGAAAATCATTTTACTTGGTTTCCTCTCTCTTTCTCTCACTTGCATGCTCTTTGGGACAATGCCTGCACATGCTATGTGCCTGTGTGGGGCTGGGCCCCAAGGCAATGGACCCCGAGTTTCAGCAGAGGCCTCCATCCATTGCTCTAATATGTAATAAAGATGACATGGGGAAGGATGCTAGGGTTAAAGTCAGCACCTCCTGCCTGCTAAATGAAACGACTTTCGCGGTCCCACCATGCGGCTGCAGGAACACGTTAGCCTCTCTCCGGCTGTCGGTGTCCCCATCAATACGGAGTGCTGCATGGCATCAGGAGGCTGGAAGACGCCCGCTTTCCTGTCAGCTAGCTCAAGAGCTGGGAGCCAGCTGCGGAGAGGTGACTCAGGGGAGCCTGCTTGCACAGCATCCAGCCTGCTGCTTTGTCGCTCTCCAGGGCCATTGCAGCTGAGCAGCAATGGGGGCACAGGGATAGCAAGGCTCCCGGCTGGCGGGCATCAAGGAGCACGTTGGGGGATTTTGTTCTGAGTGAATTAACATGCATGGAAGTGGAGGAGGCAGTGGGAAGGGGAAGGGGAAGGAGAGCAGCGGCAGCTGATGCTTGGCCATTGAGTGGCAGGAGAGGACCCTCATGTTTTTAAGGCTGAACAGTGAACTTGCAATCTTCACCATGTGGGACAGCACAGCTGGGTCAGTCATCCTAGCTGTACCCCCCTGGACAGCTCAAGAAACACAGCTCCACTCCTACTCCCCAGCTAGCTTAGAGGAGCGCTGGTGACCTACACCAGGTCTGGCCCATGCAATGGGCCCAAAGTCACCAGGAGAAATTGAAAAAGCAAGCAAGAAGGCAAGCCAGCCAGCTGAGGCCCCTGGCACCACTTAGCATATGCTGAATCTCAGTCCCACAGAATACAATTAGACCTGGCTCCTCAAGTCTAATGGCCTGCACATCTCAGCCTTGTTTTAATGAGGCGCAGGAAAGCAGCCCCCAGCCCAGCTGTGGAACCGCAGTTCATGCCAGACCCTCGCTGCTCCTTTCGATTAAGTTTTCCCATTTTGATGCCTCCCCACTGCCCTCCTGCCTTTCACAGGCACCTCGCCCCCTCCCCTTGCTGCTCCCCCAGCCCATCAAGCTCAGGTAGACAGCTCTGACAGTCCTGCAGGTCGCAGGGCTCAGCCCGACTGATAGCTTTCCAAACCAAATCAGGCACGGTGAAGAGAGGGGAGGGGTGGGGACAGGAACGGGGGGAAGACTTTTGATTTCCTTTCCCTTGGCTCAACCAAATTATTATTTCCAGCACGCTCCACCTTACCTGTAGCCCCATCAGCCTCCTGCTTTCCCTCCTCTTGTCACATGGAAGGAGGATTCTATCATCTAAAGAGATTCCCTTTTGTTCTGATGACACGGGAACGTGAAACGCCTGACGCTGACAGACTGACACTTCAGAAGGCTGTTTTACAGGCTGAACATGAGCAAGGGCTTGTAGGCCCCTTCTGGCAGCTTTGAAGTGCATAAACGAGGAACCACCGGGCGCGGAGAGGCAGGAGCAACTGCAGACTGTGAAAGCAGCGCCGTCCGTGCTACCACTTGCCGAAGACCGGTGGGGCTCTCCTTGTTGTGTGCTAAGCAGAAACGTCTCCCAGGCCACCCGCACCTGCCTTGTGCTCACATCTGGGCACATAAGTGCTTACAGGAGACAATGGGATCAGAGCCAGAGATGGGGGGTCAAGACTCTTTTTGCCTCGCTTTCCTGATCTGTGCAAGGATTGCAGCGCAGGCCTGCATTGGTAAGAGAAGAGCTTGGACCTGTGGATTTTCTCTCTGCCTTCCTAGATTTAACCACCAGGCTTGACCATGCGTCAGGGAGGAAGATGTGGGATTACCTTAACTCCATGTTTTTTTGCATGCGTGCCTGATCCTGCTCACTATTGCACTGGTTTTACACCAGCATGGTTCCACTGACTTGGATTATTTATTCCTATTTCAGGACTCAGGACTGGAAGGGATTTCCCCGGCTATCAGGTTGAGCCCCTGCCTTTGCAGACAACTGCCTGCAGCCCCTTACACATCACAGCCCCAAACAAAACCTACAATGTGCCAGAGAAAAGAGCAAGAGAGACAAGGGTGTCACCAATGCACTGGTCCACTGCAATGCCACGGACCTGATTAGGTGGAAGATGCCAAAACGATCCTATGCTACAGAAGGAGGCAAAGTCCCCAACAGCCCCAAGAGCAGGAAATACTTTCCTGATCCAAATCTGGTGATTGGTTTGATCCTGCATGAATGAGCAGGACCTATCCACCAGACAGAGGTTCTCAGGATCATTAGGAGCACCAATGTATCCCAGCCAGCCTCCCACCTCTAGCCACAGCCAATGTCTACTGGTTCAGGAGTAGGGGAACCATCCCCTTCCCTCCTTCCTCTCCTCAAATAACCAAATCATGCTTTAAAGGGGGGGAAATTCCTCCAAATCCCAGCAGGCAACCAGTAGGAGCCCTGAAGCATGGGGCTACTGTTTTCTTTCAGTGTAAAAGCAACTGGCTCCCAGAGCAGAGATGTGCTTTTGCCAAGGTCACAGTGTAAATCAGTAAAGGCTGGGTACAGAACCAATGAGCCTTACCACCCAGTCCTGTGCTCAAACCAAATTCACCTGGCTTCATGCATCTTCCAAGTGGCCGTTTTGGCTTGGGGCGCTCCCACACCAACACCCTGACAGAACAAAGCTTGTGATCAAATGCAACACAACAGAGGAAACAAGAAATAAGGATCAATCCGGATGCACGAGAGTGTAAGTTCCCCCTCCGGCCACTGAGCACAAAGCACTTTGCACTGGGTGTTAGGTTGGCACACAATGGCGTGCATTTCTGTGCACAGCAGTAGCAACATGCATGCGGGCATGAATTAGAATTACACACAGGCAGCCAGGGGTCCATGCACTGTTTTCCCTTTTGGCTCAACCCACTCCTCATCTGTTCTGCGCCCTATTGCGTGGATGGGATTGGGCAGGTTGCCTTGTTTTCCCTATGACCCTCAGGGTGCAATTGCAGTTAGACCTGCAGTCTTTGTAGCTTTTAGCTGTAGCCATCTTTTATTGCTGTAGGCTTTAGAGAGCCATGCAGAAGCTTCCTGTTTGGAGTCTCAAAGCACTTCTCAAGCCCTGGAGAATTATCCCACACAATACTCCCTAGAGACAAGAAACCAAGTCATGCAGCCAAATTTTTCCTGCTGTTGCACTGGATTTATATAGGCATAGTTCTGTGCCTTGCACAGTCCTTCCCTGTTTACTTAGGTGCTCAGGACTGCTCTAAGGTGGGAAGGCAAGTCTCCAAGTGTCATTGCATGAAGTCCTATAAGATGGGGCAAGACTGGGAGCAGAAGCCAGGAGCCAAATCACCCAGTCCTGTTCATAAACCAAACAGCTCACACACTTTCCTCCCCCATGAGCTCTGCTTCTCAGCTTGTCACACACAACCGCTACTGGCTCCCAAGCCAGGATTTCCTAATGCACTTGTGACTAAATCACATGCTGCCCTTGCCTGCCTCAGAGGAGGATGCAAAGAGCCCCATCCAGCATATGCAACTGAATATGGTGGATGGGGCTCGCTGCACTCAAAGACAGTGTTTAATAGCACTCCCTCTGCTCAAGGTGCTCAGACTTCCTCCAAGGAAGAGACTACAGACCACTCTCTTCTCTCCATATTGGCCTGCAAGTTGTCTGTGCCAGGGGACTGGCCAGTGCTAAGGCTGGCTCTCTACATGGACAAAACAAGTAGGGTGGGGAGGAGGGGGACTGTATGCCCCTCCAGTGGTCTTCTGGACCCAAGGTGGCTTTGTGCTTCACCTGTACTTGAGGCTTACGGCCAAATGACATGTCCTAGCCCTAATTGGTAACTACCTCTTGTAAGTGAATTATCCAGTAATTCCTGATTAAAGCATATCACATTGATTCAATTAAAGGGTGGACATCATGTTATTTTAAAGCCAATGATTTGCTTCCTTAGATTTTTCGATCCAGTTAAATGAAGGATCAAATTAACTAGGGACTGAATTAAGCGAAAGGCACCTGTGTGTGTCGGCATGTAGCTGGGAGGACGCGTGTTTATGCAGCTGTGTGTCGACGGGCCCCAGTGCCCCAGAGGGCGTGTACTGGACCGTGTGTCGGCACAGGGGGAGAAGGGAAGTGAGGGACGGGAGATGTGCAAATGCTGCACACAAGGGAAAAAAGAAGGCTAATTTCAGTGTCACCGCCAAAAAATGAAGTCTGAAAATACCAGTGAGGGTTCCAGCTACAACATGAACATAGCTTGGTGCATGGCTTGGGCCAGATCCACGGCTACTGTAAAGCAGAGCGGATCCACTGAAGTCAATTGGGTTTTGCTGTTTGTGTCAACCGCGTATCTAGTTCCCTGTGGATGCCTGGAAAAGGCAAGGACTCTTCTGGCCCTGGAGCATTCCTGCAGGAGCCAAACATGAGAGATCCTGAGGCTTCGGGGACCTGCATTTTGCCTCAGATTCACCCATGTCATGGTCTGCACACTATGAGGTCACTTCCTTCCTTCTGCAGCAGTATGAATTCAAAGTGGCTCCAGGCACATCACTGCGGTTAGGCTAGGGTGTTAACCAGAGGAGGGGTCTAAGGAAAAAGGGCTCAGAAGTGTGGCTGCACAAGGGCAGGCATACAGCTGTAGTGACTGGCACATGCAGGTCAGTACAAGCAGGGTGGTACAGATGTGGAACTGTGCAGAGGATGCTGGACATTAGACGGGTCCTGCACGCACCCCGTTGAGATCACAAATGGTGCAGAGTCTGAGAAAGACATACTTGCAAAAGACCCATTTGCTAAATAAGTAAATAAAAAGGTGCTCTCTCAGAAATTGGCCTTCGACCTGTCTCCATTGTGGAAAGCCACCCACCAGACAAAACGCTCTTTCAAGCATCAAATAAGACAAGCAGCCAATGATTGTTCCCCCTCCCTCCACTGCTGCACACACAGCTGTTGGAAAACATGGAGATTTGGGATCATCATGCACATTCCTGTCTGCAGGCTTCCTCCTTGGCCGCTGCTTTTGCCAAGCCCCCATTTTGCCCCACAGTGGACTGAACAGACCCCACCTTTAGACAAATGGTTTCATTTATACCCTTGTAATCAGAGGGGGAAAAAGCACAAGCCTTCTGCAATCACCACTGCCCTTCTCAGGAGGGATTTCACCGCCGGCAGTGGAAGGTAGAGGCCTTTTTAACACAGCAGGAGGTGCCGAAAGATGTGGGAAAAGATAAAATGAAAGGAAATCAGGACCAGTGGGGGTTTAACTCAGGCTGGAGTGACTTACATTCAGCTTTGGCACAGATGAGGCAGGCAGTGGTACAGTTAAAGAAATTCAGGATCCCAGCAACAGCCACACTGATGTCTGTGTTGCTGGGATGGAGGTTCAAGGTGGTGAATCGCTGGAACTGGAACTTGAGGAATTCTTCTGGGGCCACTTTGAAATGAGGGACCTGAATGAAAAAGGACAGAGAGAGAAAGCAAGCAAGGTCAGCTGCAGGAGAGCGTCAGTAAGGAGCTGTCAATTCACTGCTAAAAAGGGAGTAGCCAAGAGAGAAAAAATGTCCCAGGAATGTTCTGCTGGGACAGAGGAGCAGGATTTTTGCAAGATCACCACAGCAACAAGGCTGGGGACCAACTGGCTAAGCAGCAGCTCTGCAGAAAAGGACCTGGGGGTTACAGCAGACAATAAGCTGCGTATGAGTCAACAGAGTGCCCTGGTTGCCAAGAAGGTTAACGGCATCCTGGGCTGCATTGGTAGGAGTGCTGCCAGCAGATTGAGAGAAGTGATTATGCCTTTCTATTCAGCACTGCTGAGGCCACATCTGGAGTCCTGTGTCCAGTTTTGGGCCCCCCACTACAGAAAGGATGTGGACACAATGGAGAGAATCCAGCGGAGAGAAATGAAAATGGTTGGGGGCTGGGGAACATGACTGTGAGGAGAGGCTGAGGGAACTGGGCTTATATAGTCTGCAGAAGAGAAGACCCAGAGAGGATTTAATAGCAGCCTTTAACTACCTGAAGGGAGGTTACAAAGAGGATGGAGCCACACTGTTCTCAGTGGTGGCTGATGACAGACCAAGGAGAAATGGGCTTAAGTGGCAGCAAGGGAAGTTTACGTTGAATATTGTGAAAGAGATTTTCCTTAGGAGGGTGGTGAAGCACTAGAATGGGTTACCCAGAGAGGTGGTGGAGTCTCCATCCTTGGAGGTTTTTAAGGCTCAGCTCAACAAAGCCTTGGCTGGGATGATCTAATTGGGGCTGGTCCTGCTTTGAGCAGGGGGTTGGACTAGATGTGACCTCCTGAGGTCCCTTCCCACCCTCATTTTCTGTGATTCTGTGAACAAGGACCTAGCTGGAGGCTATAGGGAGATGGATGAAGAAGGGCCTAGCTGAGGCTGTTTAGCAAAGGTCAGCAGTAAGAGCAGCGGTAAGGGGATGCTACACTGTAAAGGGAGGTGTAGGTGTGCTGAGTTAGTTTAATCTAGCCAGCCTGGGTACCATGAACAACAAAGCTATAGCAGCTCTGATTTTAGCAGGGGCTAACAGCCCTCACTGGTATCTGCGTGGTCCTGGGTGGGGCTCACAGGGCCCACACAGGAACCTCACCACCACACACAGCTTCATTGCTATTAGTACCTATGTTAGCTAGAATAAAGCTGCACATGCAGCAATTAGTGCAGACCTACCCCCAGACGTTTAGGAGGCTACAAGAAAGAGGAACAAGATGACCTGACGCTGGCAAGTCCCAGGAGGAAGAGGAACAGTTGCAGCAATCAGAAGCTTTGGGCCTTTTGATCTGCTGAGAAGGCTACTGTAAAGCAGAAAATCCAGTGGGATCATCCCTCCCAGCCCTAATAATATTTAATTTGCCATTAATAAATCAAGGCAAAGGCAGAAGCAGGGTAGTGAATCCCAGGGAATGCAGACAATGTGGAACAAGCCAGCGCTGAGGAAGGGCAGGCAGAGAGCTGCCTCCGTTCTGACTTGGGCACATGCTCAGGGACATGGGGAGGATGCAGCAGGAAGGTGGGGAAGGTGGCTAGGGCCAGCTGGATGGGAAAAATTATTTTTGTTGTTTTGGCGGAATGAATTATTTGGCAGAAACAGAACACGGGAAAGGGAAACATCTGGTTCTGCTTCATTAGGAGGGTGTCAAGTCCTCTTTACTTCCATTATCAGAGTTTCCGGAGGCTATCGCCCCACTCTTCCGAGCCTTCTCCTCCTGGGGAAGGCTGTTAGTGGGCTGTGATGGCTGCTTTATTGAAGGCATAAGCTGTTTGGTTAGTAATCGGAAAGTTAGAGGGTAATAAGCTGCTATCTGCCTTGATTTCACTTCGCAGCCCTCATCCGGGGTTCCATTAACAGGAGAGAAGCCAACCGTAAGCTAAAGGCAAATTCCTTTAACCTAAGCAGCCGGAGCATCTACAGTATGGGCTTGTTGATCACTTGCTGGAGTCATATGTAGTCTGAAGCTTGCAGCAAAGATTGCTAACAGGAGAGAGAGCTGCTCAGACACAGGTGTACATGAGAACCAGTTACAAGCAGCCTGTGATCTCCAGAGGAGGCAGGCTCCAGCCTCACAGTGGATGGTTGCTTTGTTCCAGGTCTTTTCCTCGCCCAGGATAAAAAGTCTGACTCTTTCCTTACGTGCACCAGAATAACAGCACTGACTTCACTAGAGAAAAAGGCTGGTCTTTTGGTGATGGCACTGGACTGTGACTCAGGAGATGAATATTTTATTCCCAGTTCTGACAGGCTGCTTGCGCGACCTGGAACAAGCAGCTTCATCTCTCTTTGCCTTGATTCCTTGTCTGTAAAATGGGTGGGTGGGTAACAGAACTTGGCCTCTGAGCTCCTGAAGCAGAGCTTCCCTTACAAGCTGTGCATACCGAGCCCAGCAAAAGAGAAACCCTGGCCTTGTTTGGGGTCTCTAGGTGCTCCTGCAAGGCAAATTATAATGAATTGCTCCTGACTGACGTCAGTGCAAGTGAGAGCACACAGATTCAGGCCCAAGAAAGAGACCACTAAGGCTGGAGCTGAACTCCGCAGAATGCAAGTTTTGGTACCGGGTACCTCTAGAAAGAAGCAGCAGTTTATGAATAATGGGCTGAGACCAGAAGCATGGATCCAAGTGATGCAGATTAAACGCAAGGTTCAGGAAAAGCCCTCATGATCTGCTACTGCAGAGGGGTCTCTGCCTGGGGTACAGAAGGCTTCAGATGTTTAAACAGGCTGAAGCATTAAAATATACACTCTGGGGAGCCACCCTGCTGTGGTCAAGGGCTGGCCCTAGAAGATCTCTTTTATCTCTACTGCCTTGGATACCAGGGGAAAAAGGAGTGTGCCCCATGTGTGAATGCAGCCTATTTACAGTGCTCCATTTCAGATGCTCACAGAGATTGGAGATACCAGAGACAGAGTTGACTAAATGGCTGAGTGATGTTATCAGGCTTTAAAGGGATGAACTATGAGAAGAGAACTCAATTTCTTGTCCCTGGAGTGAAGTCAGATCAGTCTAAGGTGGTTCAAGGTTTATAAAATATTAAATCAGGTGCATAATCTGGCCACAGACAAAAAGTGTTTGTACTGAAGGAACATCTCCAAACCAGAAAGGGGGAGTAATCGTCCAGGAGGGCTGCAAACAAAGCTAACAAGCTGTCGGGAGACTGTGTAGGGATTCACATCTGCCAAGCAGCCGATAGCTTTTTCAACAGGAAGCGATGAGGAAGCTCAGCGGTGGTGTTGGGTCTTAGAAAAACCAGGGGGATGGCAGTACAGGAGGGAGTGAGAGCCAAGACACAGAGGAGCTGATGTGGGGAGAAAAGCAAGAAACAACAAGATTAAAGGGAAGGAGGGCAAAGAGACCAGGAGAGGATCTGTGCACTGAATTCTGGATTTTGGTATGATCATTTCCATTCAAAAAGGGGGACAGGGTGGATGTGTTAGTGGGCAAAGCACCAGACTGGCACTCAGGAGCTCCAGGTTCAATGCTTACACCTGAACCCCAGATATTCCCAGGCCATGTCTGATGCCTCCATTCCCCCCCGATACGAGATGTGGATAACATCTCTGCCCCACCCTGCAGGAAGAGGCGAGGATAAAATCCACGAGCGAGGATGAGGAGCTCACATACTGCGGTGATGGAGAGCCAGACAGATACCAGGATGGATAGGTGCAGACTCACTAGTTAGACCCGAGTGCGTGAATGGAGGTGAAGTGACAGGAAAGCTGCAGGAGACTTCAGATGTGATGGGACTGTCAGGAGAAGAGCAAGTCAGAGCCAGGAAAGGAGGGAGGAAAGCAACAGGAAGGGAGCACGCAGCAAGACCCTGGCTGGCATCTCAGGGAGAAAAACATTTTCTGGACACAGAAGACTCCAGCTTGAAGGGACAAACTGATTCAGGAGCAGGAAACCTTCCCTGCTGGATCTGCAGAGGAGGCACTTGCAGCTTGGAGGCAACAAATGCTTTCTGGGATGATAGCTGGGAAGGCAAATAATAATTTCATTTGCAGTTAATAAAGCAGAAGCGAGATGCTGCATCCTCGAGTACTGAGGCAACACTCAGTGGAGACGAGGAGGGAACTGCTCCAACCAGAGCCCAGCAGAGAGTCGGGGCTGGAAATTGTTTTTAGCCTCCAGAGTCTTCCTCACATGGAGACTGATGAGGCTCACATGGGCTGAGAGAAGGATTTGAGATGAAGCTGCTGTGGTGAACAAGGTCAGGGGAACTGTATCACCCCATGCACCCTGCCTGCCCCTCCTTTACAACCTCCCAGCCTTGTCCCCTGTGGACCTGCACCGTGGGCTCAGGCAGCTCCGCTGGTCAGAGTGATGGCTCAAAATGACTCCCAAAGGGGACACTTCACTCACCTCTTTTTCCCCACAGATATTGCTGATTATAGAGCTTGAAGCCGGACTTGATGAAGGTCCCAGGACAGCTACCACCCCTTTCGGCAGAATCTGGCACACTGGAGTCACCATGGAGAAGAAACACGTGTTAATGAGGCGCGATTATCCAAAGAGTCCCAGTAAGCAGCAATGCCTACGCAATACAGCAAAAAGTATATCAACTCACCCAGCCTCCGCGCCCCGCTGAACCAAGAGTCTCTGTAGCCCCAACCCCATGAAGTCAGTCTCATATCCCTAACTTTCAAAACATCACTGCTTCCCACTACTAGTCCCATAGCCCAGCTGTCTTACGGGACAGACCTCCAACCTTGTAAGTCCCCACCATGTGCTCCAAACCCCTTATCACCACTGCTGATTTCCTCTTAAAAAGTCGTGGCACACTCCCACCCACCACCCCCAATCCCGCAGAAGCCCCTCGCCAATGCCATTTGCACATTATTCTCCAACCCCTCCGAAACTCTCACATCTGTTATCTCTCCACCCTCCTTCAAGCCCAAGGGCAGCCGGGTCCCTTTGCCCGGTGACATGCCCCTTTCAGGCTTTTCCTGCTTTGCAGCAAGAAATTTTCATGGAAGTTTATGGAAGATATTAAGCAACGAACGGTCCAAGTTAAAGCAACATACTGCAGCAGCCAAACTTCTCTATATTTCTTCTCCCATCTTTTGCAGAACTGAATAATAAGAAGAATTAAATTATTGCTCTCGGTTTGTTTTTACTGTACACTCTGTGCAGCAGCAGTTAATGTTCTGGACCTAGGCCACGAGGGTTGATATAACATTAACAGGACCCTGACAAACTGAAGAAGCTGAATTTTTTCCTTGGTCTCCTGGGCTAAGCTGTAACCTTCTGTGCTTTCAATCAGAGCTTGAGCGAGCTGAAGGGACTTGGAAGGGCTCCCCGGTGGAATTCAGATCCAACCAAGCCATCGAGGACTGTTCCTCTGGAGTAATTTGTATGAGTGAAGCCTCCACAGGCCGAAACGAGCAGCATCCTCATTTCTGAGCCCTGAGGTCCCCAAAGGATATTCTGAACTTGACATGGCTGATTGGAGTTTTGAAAGACATTGGGAGAAATGGCTAACTCAATATTACCAGGCTCCCATCTCCCTCCCATCTAAAGACACGGGCAGGCAGATGAACAGCAAATACACAGCCATGTTTGCTTAACTAGCATAACACGAGCGCTTGCAAGGTATGCGGACACCACGTGGGAGAAATTAAGTTCACCATGGTTATTTGCCTTCTCTACAGTAACGCCTTGTCAAAGCTTTCAAAAATCAAGTGTTTATGAGCTAGCTTATGCAAATAAGTCATGCATCTAAAAGACAGTCCCTCATATATCAAGTGACTTGTTTTGCTTGGGACAGGATTCTTCCTGTGGGCGCTTGGTGTGTATCTGAGCCATGCCTTTACAATGGTGGTGGAAATTACCTAGATGCAAGGGTTGGAAGCTGAAACCAGAAAAACTGAAACTGGAACGCAATTTGTATAGCGCGGGTAGTTAATCATTGGAACAGTCTTATGACAGGATATATGGGTTCTCCAGCACTTGAAGCCTTTAAATCAAGACTCAATGTCTTTTGGAGAGAAAGAGAGAAAGAAAGAGAGAGAAAGAGAGAAATGCATTCTCCTTTGACAACAAGTTACTGGGCTCTGTGTGGCAACCACCGGATGAATGTCAAAAGCCTATGTTATGCAGGAGGTCAAACTAGATGATTATAACGGCATTTTGTGGCCTTAAATCTATGAAATTATATAATCTAGTGGCTACAACAAGGGTATAAGAGGCAGGGCTCCTGGGCTGTAGTCCCAGCTCCGCTAATGGCTTGGTCTGTGACTCTGGGCAAGTCATTTCACCTCTCTGTCCCTCTGTGAATTAGGGATGAGACTAGTGCTTTAACAGGCAATGATATGGTTTAATTAATTCATCTTTGTAAAATGATCCAAGAAACAAGGGCATATGAAAAGTATCATCCCAGCTTACACCCTAACCCACTCAGAAGGATGTGGAGGAGCTTAAACCTAACATCAGAAAAACACAAAATAATAATAAGCAAGCCCCCCTCCCCATGCCTTTTAAAGCAAGGATACAGTGATCTCCCCAAGTAAAGAAGGGAAATGTAATCATGCAGTAACACCTCTCTTTTCATTGTTTTAAAAACTCATGTAAATGTAGTACAGTATAACCGCGTAAATCCATATATATATAAAAAAAATAATCGGGTATTCTCAAAAATCCTGCCACCAAAAGGTAAAACTTGTAGACTGGGCCCCAGGGGCTCAATATTCCACTAAGAAAGTCAAGTCATCTGGGCAGAGATGCAGACGACAGAGGAGGAGGCCAAACAGCAGCCCTGCCAGACTGAATGCACCCGATCTGGTCTGATGTAGAAAACCAAGTTGTCCTGGGTCTAGGTAGTCTTGGCTGAGAGGCTGCCTTGCAATTCCAGCAGCTGTAGATACAAGCCAAGGGGTTTTGGTCAAACACTAGGCAAATACTTAGGCCATAGAAAATGAATGAGTGACAAGGCTTAATTTAGCCCCGTTGTTGCTACCGAGCTGATGGACAGGAGTAAGAGGACAGCACACATCTCCCCTTGGTTTTGTTCTCTCAGTCCAGTATGGCGTTCTTTTCTCCAGCAGCTTCAAAGGGATATAGCACTTGCTTCTCCTCTTTGCTTAGAGATTTGCCGGCACTCACACCTCTTCAATAGACCCTTTTGACTAAGAATATCAGCAATTTGCAAACTGTGCCTTCCGTTTTAGAAACATTCATCAGTCCCTCGTGACAGCTGGGATCCTTCAATTATTCTGCAGTGTATCAGGCGCCTGCCAGCATCCAGGAGGAAGGCACAGGCACCCGCCCGTGTGCACACGTGTGAATAAGACAAAAGTCCTAAGGGGGGGATTTTTGTCCTGCATGTAGGGGAAAGTTTGGCAAGCACTTTCCCTTTGTCTCTCGGGTAGCCACGAACAAAAAGTGTGTTAAGTAGTCATAGCAACTGAGTTGCAACAACTGTCAGAAGAAAGAGCAGCAGCTTATCACTCTAAGGGTGAAACATCCGATGAAATTACAGGGGGAAAAAAAAAGGAAACCAAGTGGAGATGCCTTGAAGGCAGAGGCTTAGGCCATGTTGAGGAAGCTCCTCTTGTAATCCAAAGCCATTTCCTAACTCAAAATGCTGCCTTCTTCTCTTACTCTTCATGGGAGTGGGGAGGAGTGTGAGGGAGAGAAAGAGCCAGAGGGCTCCTTGGCTCCCATCTGGGGTGGAGGGCCAGTGATCCCAGGCCCACAGCCCCAAGGAGACGGGCAGAAACCCCCCTTACCCAGGTGTGTGGGAAAGGGAGGGGCCGACACTTCCTCTGCCGGCATAAAAGAGCCTGGTGTCCACAAGCGAGGGCAAAGCTGGGTGTGTTTCTGGAACCGGAAGAAGGACGTGGAGGTGATGGAGTAGGCCGGCATACGCTGCAGAGGATGCGAGCAGCGCTGAGTGCCGGTAGGAACCTCTGGAAAGGGGCTAAGCCTCAGTCGGGGTTTCGAGGACAAACGGCGGGCCCTTGAGGGTAAAGGACTGCTGATTTACTGACGGGGAGCAGAGAGAACCCGGCTGGGGCCGGGTACCGTAAGGACTGTATTAGAAGGGCCTGACTGGAATCAGGGTACTGTAGCTCCTGTAATAGGGGCACAGCTTACAGTGAGCTTTAACAGGAGGAGGGAGAACTTGATCAAGCCCTCCCCAGGGACTCTTCGACCCACAGAGGGCGAATTGTTATTGGACAACGAGTGCGGTTCGGCTGGAGCAGCCGACCTGACCAGGCGAAGCCCCTCGGTCTTGGGGCTTGTGTTGATTTTTTATCTTTCTTTTGTGGACTACTCGGGCGACATACGGACACGTGGCCGAGCCAAGCTGGTGGCCACCAACCCGGTGGAACGGGCGAGGGTGTAGGGGTGGCGGAGCCCTCAGAACTCGGGACCCACAGGACGCCAAGGAGACTCATAATTGGATGGCACGCGTCGGACAGATGAACCAACTCCGTTAACATCAAAGTCGTGGCAGGCGAGGCAGGCACGTGTGATACATCCAATCGAAGGTGAGGATACACTCGGTGACCAGTAAGTGGCCCCAACACGGGCAGCTGGCATAGGCTTTGACTCGACAAGGAGGAAGAGGGAATCATACTCAGACTCAGCCCTGCTCCACCGGCAGGCATCATGTATTCAGACAAGCGCTTGCAAGGATGCGGGACTGTCTGCACAACTCCACATTCACTCCTGGTAAAAGTGATCTGATTTCAGTGGCATTATCCCAAGGACAACATGGACTAACCAGAAAACCATGGATCCTAACACAGAGCCTGCCATGAAGGATGCTGGCCAGGATATCACACCACCTTTCTGCCAGGGTACCACAGCATGTTCTGCGGAGAAGCATGCACCCAGGTTTGGAGAGCATACCGCCTGGGACCACGAGGTCCCAATGCTGACTTGCAGGTGACCATCTCGTATGTCAGAGTAGAGGGATCCAAGGGGTAGGGTTGGCCCCATCTTTACTGGACAACCTGAGCATTGCACATCATAGCTCCAATTCAGTAATACATTTCCACATTGCTAAGGCTAAGCAGGTTGTACAGCCTCCGCTGTACTGTCACCAGTCCATTGCAAGTAGACCCAATACTGTATCCCATCTGCTTCCAACACAATTCAATCTAAGTCGACGTTCAGTCTCTGTTCCTAGCTGTGGACTCCAAGGAACGCCCCCAGGCTCAGACTCACGTCCGGCGCACCATTTAGGATGTAAGTGGCTCACTCAGCCACTCCACACCTCAAAATCAGTGCCCGGGACCTGCTGACATACAAGCCTAGTACATGACTCTCTCAATGACAGACGCTGTACTCTTCAAATACTTGAGCGTTACAGATCTTTGAATACAAAATACAAAATGGGCCCCCCCTCCAGCCTCACCTCGTGCCTTCTTGCAAGTCAGAGGTGTCGATATTTCTGGCTGGGCAGAATCTCTCCTGTCCTCACCCTCTTACAGGTCCTCTCGCCACGTGCCTAGAAACAGTCAGCTAGCCACACAGAGCAGCACCCTGCTTTTTAAAAGTAGACTCTCAGTGGAAAGCTCCTGTTCCCACCCCTAGTCACACTGGCTCTGATGAAGAAAAGACCATTTTCCCATAGGGTCAGGCCAGTAGATAACAGTTATTCAAAGGTGATATGCCCTGTCTTGATGAGTTCTATATACATATCAAGCCAATTTCCTAGGTGAGACAGTTGCCTGGGATACATTACAATAGGGTGTCCTCATGCATAATGCAAACTGGAGCTCATCATTTGATACAGGCACATCCCACTCTGTCACAGAAGCACTTCACTGCTTTGCTGAATCAGGGCCTAAAGATATACCCATAGTTTGGAAATATGAGCATGTCAGCTCACAGAGCTATAAGACATCGGTTAGATGTGTATTGGGAAGAGGTAACAATTCCTGTTCAGTCTGTATATTAAAGATACCAGCATTCATAGACAAGAATCTGAGCGCATTTGCAAATTCAGGTGTACATTCTCTCTTTGCCCACCAGTCTCTGGTGCTGTATGCGACAGCAAGGCAAGATTAGCAGAAGGAAGATCCTTAGAAGCTGCCACATGCTGAAGACCACAGACTGATGAGAGGGAAGTGTGTCCTTTCTTGGACTTCAAGAGGAAAAAAGTCATTAAACAGACCTTTTTGGATCCCTATAAAGGAATTGGGGGAAAATATAACACATGGAGTAAACAGGCTTTACCTGCAATGAAAAAAAAACCTGGCCCTGTCCACTATCTTTTCACTACGGGATTACTTCAAAATAGTAATATGCAGATGCTTTCATACAAGAACAGCCAATATATTTATTTGCCTTCGCCTCCCTTTAGATTGAAAATGAACAGGTCTTAATCAAATTCATGTGTGAGTGTTTGTCCACAAAGTTTTTTATCTGTTCTAGGAATCACTATTTTGCAGCAGCATATGTTAAGATCCTCGACTCGACCATTAAAAAAATGGAAAATTGCTTTACAATAAAATAAAAAGCAACCCACAAAAAGTCTTTCATCTCTTAAAACGCTAATTGCATGCAAAGTGTCACTGTTTGGATGTAATAGCGACATTCCTGGCATCAGTTAGCTAAACATACTAGCTGTGATATTTAGGAGTAATTCAAAAGGCGTGAAATCTGAAAGTGGTATTAAAGAGATGTATAAAAGATCCGCAGTCATAGGTTAAGACATCGAAACTACTCTCATTACTATCATATGCAATGACAAGCGCTACTGCGGTGTTAGAGCTGAGAAGTCAGGTATTCAAGAAGTAAAGAAACCTGTCAGTTTAAAGGGGCTTGATTCACTTTTAATATTGGTGTAAATCAAGAGAAACTTTACTGCGAGAGCAGGGAGGGGCAGAAACCAAATTTTCCATTTCGTAGGAAATGCCGCAATTTCATAATTTCTTTCTCGTTTGCAATAAAACAATGGAAAAGGTGCTGTGAAAGGCAATTCCAAAGAAAGAAATTGCTTCCTTTTGATCATATCAAAGCATTTTGTTCCAGCGTCTACTTTTTTATATTCAATTATTTAATATATAAAAAAAGTGTTCTAAACTGGAAAAATGTCTAACTTCTCAGGAAGCCCTATTACTCCCCCACCCCTCCCACGTAGTATTTTGCTGAAATCAGCAAGTTTCTACCAAATGTCTGTGAAATGTTTTGGTTTCAACAAATCAGTATTTTCAACTGGAAACATCAGAAAAGCTGCGATTCGCTCTACATTGCTGTAAGTAACAAGGGAATCCGGGACAAGATCGTTACCACCTTCTATTTGGTTGCATTCACCCACACACGATGCGAGGAGGAGATCGGTACTAAGCACACAAATAAAGGAACGAATGGAAAATGCTGACATCAAATTCAAGACATGTGGCAAGGAGGATGAGCAGAACAAACAATAGAGGGAAGCGATGCATCATCCACGTTTCCTCTCCTGCTAATGACAGCGGAGAGGGTGAGGGATAGATAAGGAGGCACACATGGAAGCTGGGCCCTGGTTGCCAGGTCTATCTGTTGGCCCTGTGTCCTCTGCCCTGCCCGGGACGGGTATATCTGGGCAGGCCAGAGGGTATGCGTGTGACTGATGCTCCACTTGGGCAAAGGATAAACTGAACAGACATGTGACTGGGGACACTCTTTAACCAGCTGCAGTGACCCAGAACAGGGCACAAGCCGGACCCCTATTACAGAGTTCAAGAAGTGAAGGCAGAGGAAGGCCATTTCAAAACTTTTCCTTGAGATACTGGAGGACAAGTTTTTAACCTTAACTGTCTCATGGGTGATGGGCTCTACACCCAGGAACTTTCTGAAATACACATTAGTAACTGAATACGGAGGAACGGTTCTATAAATAGTATTAATTTCTTATTTGGGGAATCAAGGACTCGTCCCTCCACCTCACATGCTGACAGGCATGATGGTCCCTTCAATGAATTATCCCGAGACTTGCTGCTCTGAAGTGCTGAGTGCCAGGACTCCCTTTGAACCTAATGGACATGGACAGCACTCAGGACTGTTGAGAATCAAACCCAAAGGCTTGGAAGAGCAGCAACTGAAGATAATTTTAGGAAGCTGTTATCATATCCTACGGGACAGCCCAGCAGAAATACACAGAAGTAAAACCAACCTGGTTCTACAGCCATTAGATAGCGTTGCTCAGAAATCACTCTAAAACCCTATATAACTTTATATCTTTTCTATAGACTTTTAGAACTCATCTGCAATAGGGAATTATAGCCCTGTTACAGGATTATATGAGATGGCTTAGCAATTTGCCATGGAGAAGTTATCATAGTCTTTTGCTTTCTATAGGACTTTTGCTACAAGAGGCAGCGCTTAGAGCCATTTTTGGTTTTAATTTTTATTGGGACTAAGGAGAGATTTTCCCTGACTAGGGAGGCCAAAATAATCAAACAAAAAAAAAAAAACCTTGAAGGCCTCTGAGAACATTAGTATATTAGTCAAATAGACAGGTTTTAGTAATGGATGCAGACTGGATGAGCTCATGTCTAAAGACAAAACCCTTTAGAGAACATCTAGATCAGAGTTCTGTTCTCATCTGGGAAATGCACACCCCCAGGATGTGTATACTGCCTCTAGAAAGAGAGCTTAGGCACCACCTATTCTGGTATACACAACCCCTTGGCAGCTAGGGTTGAGAAATGCAGAAGAAGAGCTGCTACGTTTCTTTGCCGAACTCAGGGCTAAGCAGCATTTCAGAAATGAGTCAATTCAGACCAACATTACCTAGTTCTTGTTTAGTGCTTTACATCAGTTCATTTCCAAAGGGTTTTAGCCAGGAAGTCAGTATCAGCATCCTCAGTTTATAGATAAGGACACCCAGGGTGTTTATAGGTGTTCTCCAAGAGAGGGGGGCGCTTTAATTAGAGCCATTCTAATTACAGCATCATGTGTATCAGCATCCCCACCACCATTTTCCAGCATGGGGACACCGATACACGTGATGCTAGAGTCTGCTTGAGCACAGCAATTATCACACTTCAGGAGACTCAATTAATCAAACCTGCTCAGACACACTGTGATTACAGCACATTAGAGCAACTTCGCTGCATGTGTATAGGCACCCCCAGGCATAGAGCAGGGAAGGAAGTCACTTTGCTCACAGACAGCCATAAACCATGGGCAGAGCCCGGATAAGAACCCAGGACTCCCAAGTCCCAGACTTATGCTCTCTCCACTGGGCAACGCTTCCTCCCCTCTGCTTTCTGAGCCTGCCTTAAACCTGCAGACAGCTCTGCAGGGGAAATTCTGCAAGCAAGCAAAATCTGTGCGTGATAAAAGGGTGGCCATTAAGCTTTAGCAGGATGACAGCGCACACAGAAGAGGGGAGCAGCCCTAAAATACCCCCAAACTATTTAAAAGGACACCGCCCCATCTGCTATCCAGCACAAGTGAATCCCACTAGGATGCCAGCAAGCCTACCACACACTTGGTCACTAAAGCAGAACTGTCTTTAGGAGACTGTTATAGCTGGAGAAGCACTCGATACACTAACAGGGTTTGCGATCATTCAGATGCTTATAACAGGATACTGTCTGTTCCTGAGAAAAGCCACACAGATCTGATGAATGAGACTGTTTTCCGGGGCAAGCACCACTGCAGACTGAGACCAGCAGACATCTAAGGAAGGATGCTCTTGCAGGGAACCCCCACTTGGAGACCGACAGGAAAAGGAAAGGTTCAAGGCCCAGGAGGTACATACTGGTTTCCGCTGTCTCATATTCACTGTCTCTCAGCAGCTCAAAAATGTCCACCTCCACTTTGGCTTTTCCCGCTCGCTCTGGGGCCCGATTGATCCGATTCTTCGCTAGGGTGATAGACAGCCTCTCCCCTCTGCTGCACTCCATCGGGTCATCCAGAATGGCAGCTGGAAAACAAAAGCATGGCTCAGTAAGGAAGGACTGGAAAAATTGGCAGAACCTAGAATAAAACCTGGCGAGTCAGTAGGCAGAAGAAGTAAAAAGATCAGGGGAGAGAGAAAAAGAGTCCATTTTCCACGGTGCATTTGACCAGTGCTTTGGCAACAGTAGGTTTCTATCTTTGCAGCCATGCCTGAATCACCTAATTCGGGAGGATTACATAATTCAGTTGGGCCCCAATTCTGTAACCATAGGATCATAGCAAAGTAAGGCTGGAAGGGACTTCACATGATCATCTAGTCCAGCCCCTTGCTCAAGGCAGGATCATCCCTGACTAAACCATGCCAGCCAACTATCTAACCTGCTTCTGAAAGCATCCAAGGATGGACATACCACAGTTTCTGTAGGGTGCCTGTTGCAATGCTTGACCTTTCAAACTGAGTACCAAGCTTACGTCCTACCAAAATTGCTCGCCCCCAACAGGCATTGGTCAGGCATGGGATGAGCTGTTCCTTCATCATATCTACTGAAGTCCATTCATTTTATTACTGCCCCTCACACCCATCCTCACCTGTTAGTGCCTACCAAACTTCATAGATTTCATAGACATTAGGGCTGGAAGGGACCTTGAGAGATCATCCAGCCCAGCATGCTGCCCCAAGGCATCACTTGTGAGCTCCCTGCCTCAAGAGTGTCTGCCCCTTGCCTGCGCAGTGCCTAAGCTCACTAAGGACAGATTACTGATTGCAGTTCCTAAATGTTACTAGGATACAAAATCATAAAGCTGGGGTTTGTCCACTTCAATCCAGGGAAAGGATCAGGGCCCAGTTTAGTATTTAATGCCCACGAAAACAGTTCGGGATTTACTGTGATGCGTGAATTAGCAAGTGAAGAAGCACAGGCGCACGCACAAGAGTGCATCAAAAACATGCTTTGTTCATTTGATAAAGTCTCTGTGCAGTGCTGAGACCAGCAGATCAGTTCTCACAGTCAGAATATTTCAGGAAGCGAGTGGGCAAGGTGGGTGTGGGATGGAGCTGTGGCTTGTCGGGGGGGGGCGTGGC